CTCCAACAAACCAACACCATGGCAGCTTATATCAGCCTCCGTGCTCACCAGGTGTTGATCACGGGCAGAGATGTGATTGTCATCATGTCACAGCTTAGAAACCATTGTCATTTGAGCTGTAAAGGCAGAAGTGTGTTGTTTCTGTGAAAATAAAATTGAATGCTCTTAAAAGACTTCCCAATGTGAGTCTGGGAAAAAGAGGTCTCCAAACTTGGTGAAGATTGGTGGGAAAATGGCATAGATTCCAAGGGTATGCTGTGATCGGATTGTGTCTAACATGTCCTCGAGTTCTCACACCCCTGTGAAAAAGTCGCAGCTGGAAATCATATCAAAGTCACAGCAGATTCCAAGGAAAGGCCATGACCTTTCATGATCCAATAGCTAAAGAGAGCAAGTGGGACAATGGGAAAATTAACCAGCTAACCACTGTCTCAAATCTTGCCAGGTCAAAAAGGCTTCTGCTTTCTTACAGAGAAAATGAGTGGCTTGGGTAGTATCTGAGCTTGTTTATAATCACAACTTGTCACTCATATATGTACATTCACATGCACATATACACACAGGCATGCATACAGACTCCCTTCCGCCCCCTCGCACAAACACACTCTGAAACACCATGTATCACCCTGTCTGGGGCTTTTGCAAAGTCTCTTCCTCCTTTAGAAGTAAGGCTTGCTTGCTCCTGCCCTCATGAAACACACTCCTGTCATCAGGGATGAAGGGTGTTGATTTGGTTCTATTTGTATGCTTAAAGCTCAGAGGAACTCCTTGTCATGCATTCAAACTTGGCAGCCCGGGGGTCAACCCTGTCCACAATCCTAGCTGTCTTAGGACCGACCACTCGCTGTAGCCTGTATTACTCTAGCCTTGGACACATCAGAGCCTTCCTATATGGATGGGCTTAGACATCCCTAGTTTTCCGTGTTAGCCCAGGACACTCTAAATCCTTTAGACTAATTCTTATAATTAGTTATGTCCAGTGGTAGCCAACTTCCACTCCCCTTTAAGCCGTGACCAAACTCAGGAGAAGCTGACATGTTGGCTCCTTGCTTGGATTCTGGCCATGAATCATCTCCTGAATCCTCCCTCTCCCTCTCTCTTTCTTCTCCTCTTGGAGCCCTAACTTTCCTACCTTGGTTGGATAAGGTGGCAGAAGTGGAAATTCATTAGAACCCATTCATCTCAGTGGCCCCATGTAAGGATAAAAGCTGATGAGGATGGAGTGTGCCTGCGATACCATATAGGCTCCAGTCACCTTGAAGCTGCCCCCTGAAGCCTTTGGCCTCCTCTGTTCTCTTCCGGGGTCAAAGGTGCCTCACCTCAGTATTACGCATTCGATCAACAATGTAGCATTTGCCTTTGGCAAAGAGTTCTCTTGAACAGGAAGGAAGGCCTCTTGTTTGCATTCTTCGGGCGAAGTACCAGTGCTGGTAATGGTTATGCAAGACATAGGCCCAAGTAGTCAGGGGTGGAGATTGGTGACATTTGACCTGAGCCCGACACCCACTCACATGCATACATGTGGTTTTCCTCTGGAAGTACATGCCTTCAGCCACCTTGCCTGTGATACCTGATTCCTTAAGCCACCCCTGTTTATCTCTACTTGACTGAAGGCTTTCTCAGACACCTTGTTCTCCGTCTGCACTACCCCATTCAAATTCCATAGCAGAAATCTGTCTGAATGTGGTAAACCTCCCCTCCAACCACCAGGGCTCAGAAGTAATGTGGATAATACCTGAAGGGGCTCAGCAGGCCACCTGCTCATGGGCTCCTCCCAGCCCACCAGCTGAGTGGAGGCTGTGAAGACTGGCTGGGGTTGATCCTCAAGTCTGAGCCAAGTGCAGCCAGCCTACCTGCCCCACACTGCCTTGCTTCCTCCAAACCTTCCCCCTGCTGGCCAGCTGGCTTTCTCCAAGGCTGTTCTGCTTAATAACCACTCGGTAATTAGCTTCACAATTTTGCTACCTTACTTATAATAGCTTCCATTAAAATTATGGGGTTTTCAAGCGGAAATGGCTTCCAGAGTAATTAATGCACAACTGAGTTTATTGCTAAGCTTATTTTTAGAGTGTTTCTCCCTCCTTTCCGTCCACAAGTTATTCTGACCAAAGAGGTCTAGATGGGATTGGAATTGTCCTTCCACTGCCCCTTGCAACTTTGCCACCATTGTTCCCCTCTCCTTCTGCCCCCTTTTCCTGTGCCAACATCCAGAGGGTTCTGGGACTCCAGAGTGGAGACAGCATTCATACATGCAGTGTGTAAGTATAATGCTGTATATGTCCTTGGGCCCAGCTGCCACCGACCCAAATCTGGAATTAGCTTGTGCCTTGCCGCTCATGATAACATAGAGACCAGTGGCTGAGATTTGATTTTTGGCCTAGTTGTTTACTAAATGTTGACCTTAGACAAGTCATTCACTCCCTCTAGCTTCAAGGAATTGAGTTGGAAAGTACAAATAAAAACAGGGCTGGCTGTCAATGAGTATTCAAGGAGCAAATATCCATAAATCTTGGTTTCAAGATAAAGAGGCTTATCAGAAGTAAAAATACATCTTCAATATGACCGAATTGGCTTGGCGGTTGCCATTTTCCTTTTGCTGTCTCTCTCCTGGAATCTGATCCTTCAAAGATGCAAGACTCTTGAGGAAGCTTGTAGAGCCCATGAAACACAGAAGACAGCCCAGTTTGGCCTCTCGTCCTTTGTTGAGAGTGGCCTCAGTGTCCTGTGCAGCTCTGTCTAATTCTGGGGGATGTGGCTTGAAGCCACACCATTTTCTCCACTCATTACGTGAGATGCAGAGTGGAATCCTGGTGTGGGTGCTGAGCCAAGCTCTCCCACCTGCTGGGGCCACAAAAAAGAAGGAGTTCATAGAGAATGACACATAGACATGCATGCATATACACATGCACACATAAAACACACACCCTACAACCATGTGGAGAAGTTAAAGAAGCAGCAGTGGGAACTAACAGGTCTCCATCCCCATCCACAGCAAAACATAATGACAGTTGGGTCAAATACACCCTCGTGAGGACTCAAAATCAGGAGAGGTCTAACTGTTTCTCTGCACCCCCACCTCCCAGCTCCCTACCCTCATTTGCTACACTGATCCCATGTCGTCAACCTTTGTTGACCTACTTCCTACACAAGCTTCTTGGGTCCTCTGGCTGTGTGGGGTATGAGATTAGAATAGTACAAGGAAAAGAAAAGCTGAATAGTCACCACTACAGTAAGAACAAATAAATCTCATCAGTATTTAGTGTTTGGGAAAGGGGAGTCTTGCAGAGCCCAAGTCCCACCTCAAACTGACCAGTGCCAGAAACTCTAACTTATGCTTCCGTCAGAGGCCCATGCTCTGCCTTGTGGCATCCCAGCTGTGTGGCGTTTCTCTCTGCTCCCAGCTGAGATGGCCCTGGAAGCTGCAGTTTACTCAGAGTGTTCAAAAGATCTCACTCCTCATTTGAGGACATTCTACTGAGAGTAATTGTCATTGATTGTCAGACATTGTGCTTAATGCCAAAACCCCTCTTAGAGTTGCTGACTGGAAGACATCGTTATTCCCATTTTACAGATGGAAACATTGAGGCTTAGCGAGGCTCAGGGCATTTTCTGCACTTAGTCACTAGTAATGTTCGGCTTTGGATCCAGACCTGTGTGACTTTGAAGGCCATGTTCATGATCTCTGAGCTCAGGTGCCTGCTGTCCTCAGACAAGGAAAGCAAAGGCCAAGAAATTACTTTCTCTGGGTTGTGGTCCTCTGCAGACACTCTGATTATCATGCTTTACTGTACAATCCGCTGCACATTGCCTAGAGTGCCCTGAGCCTGTCTCCCTTCATCCTATCCCAAGGAGTTTCTCTGAGCATGCCAGCCCCACGGAAACCTACTGAGCCATTGCTGAAGTAGCCAGAGGTTTCCTCAGAACTTACTCTTTGCAAACAAGGGAGAAAAAAAAAAAGAGAGAGAAATGTGCCCCTGTAGACAATTGGTTTTCATTAGATGTAAGATGTATAATCCAGATAGCTGTACTGTCCTCTGGTCTCCAAATCACACTCACACACATGGACATATGTACCCACACATACATACATATATGTTCACATGCATGTGTAGATATGTACATGTATACATATATGCACATTCACGTACACACAATCTGCCCCTCACACACGTCTCAGCACCCTGTGATTATGCCACCTCTCCTCTAGACACGTATCACAAGAGGGAACGTCTCTGGAGGTACCCATGCCCAGCCACTTCAAGGCTGAATGGACATTTGCACCAGGCTCGTGTTTCTTACGAGGGAGGCACTGTTCTGCGCCCTCTTGCTACTGGCACAGGTCATTGCTCCGGCCCTTTGGTGTGACTACATTTCAAGCCAGCTTTTCCCCATGGTGACCCCAACTCCAGCACCTGACCTGTGGCCCACCAAGTTTGCTGTTGATGATGTTTCCTCGTGGGACCCATCTAGCACTTCTCTTCTTGGTCCTCAAAGAACTCACCCTGGCTTTCTCGAACATCTTTATTCAGGTTCTGGGAAAGCCAATCTGAGCCCAAGGACTATGTGGAGATTAACTCATCTGGTCCTGAGAACTACTACGTGAAGTAGGTACTGATGTCACTCCATTTTATAAATGAGGAAACGGTGGCCCAGAGGGTTGAGGTAACTCACCCAAGGTCATCAAGCTGGTTGGCGGCAGAATTGTGACTTCAGCCTGGGCTCTGCCTTTGAGGTCCATGTCTGCAGCCCCAGCACCCACTCACTGAATCTCATGGCTGGGCTTGTGCCAGGCCATTGGTGGGCCAGGCTGGGTCACCTCGTGGGCAGACAATGTTCTACAATGGGTCCTTGAGACTTCCCCATGGGCCCCTGCAGGCAGCCTCCTCCCACATTCCCCGCTGCACCCAGCCCCTGGCCATGTTCTTCTGCTCTCTCCTGTAGGTCTCCATCTCCCAGGGTTCCCGACCTTGCCCCTGACGGCCACCTCTTCTCAAACTCCAGCCAGGCTAGACCCTGCGAACCTGCTTCCGCAATGGGTGGGTTATGAGCGCGGGTAAGATCTGCTAGCCAGCACTCTGCTTTCTCTGTCTTGCTCGTGCCTGGCAGGCCTGGCCCATTCCTTCTCTTTTCTCTCCTATGCTGCCACCCGCTTTCTGACCTCGCCGCCACACAGGTAATGAGGAGCTGTGGGCCCAGCCAGCCTTGGAGATGCCGAAGAGACGGGACATTCTGGCGATCATCCTCATAGTGCTGCCCTGGACGCTTCTCATCACCGTCTGGCACCAGAGCACCATCGCTCCCCTGCTTGCTGTGCACAAGGGTAAGTCCTGCCCTCTGACCCTGCAGCATTCATGACGTGAACAATGGCAGCTAACATTGCAGGGACCTTTACCTTTATCTGCTAAGCTATTAGAGAGGGAGCTCTGGTGGCATAGTGGTAAGGAATTGCACTGTCAACCCAAAGGTAAGGGGTTTGAATCCACCAGTTGCTGCACAGAAGACAGATGAGCAATCACCTGTCATGTGATTTACTGCCTCCGAAAACACACTGGAGGGTGGACTAGGGGCCAGTTGTGACTGGATGGTGCACAATAAAAACAAAAAGCAATTAGAAAGAATGACATGAGTCATCCATTCCAGTGCTCTCTCTCTGTAAAAACTCTTGGACCTCTTTGAGACTCTGATGGAAACACTCCCCCTTCACATAAAAACAGACACACATACTCTTTTTTTCCCCTATATTTTATTAATTTTCATAAACATTTACAGAGATTTTGGGTTTCCATTCATTCATTGTTGCACTATTCTCTCTACCCTCCTCCCAGTTTGTTCTTGTCCAAATGCCACAGTGCTTGTCAAAGCCAGTTCTGATTAATCTTCTTTGTCAGTGCGTCCTTTGCCATTCCCTATCACTCCTCCCTGAGAGAGACTTCACCCTGAGTCATAAGGAAAAGGGGATGGCGTATTCTCTTAGCTACTTCCTGCTGAAGAGGGACGCTGTGGGTTTCAGGGTGAAGATCTTCTCTCACTACTCTAAAGGGCCCCTTTGGCAGTAGGAAACACATAGACTATTATGGAGATTGATTTTGGAATTTAGATGCACTCTTATTGATTGTGCTTGGCCGTACATGTTCATATCCTTGAAGATGTATCATGGGGGTGTTGCAACCTAGAAGACACAAATTTGACTAACAAGTTATAAGTACATGAGTCCAGAAATTATGGAAAAGTAAAAGAAAAGATTCTTTCATTGTTTTACAAACCCTCCCCCAGGTCCCCTCCACCATGTAGCCCTCGCTCTAGTCTCCTGTGATGACAGAAATACCTAGTTATATATCTCTTTTAAACAGTTTTCTCCCTCCTCTGTTTCAGTGCAAAAACAGACACACATACTCTTACATCCTCAAACATACAAAGAAACATGTCACACACATACACACAGACACACCATTGGATGAGTCTGATTTTAGGGCCCCAGGGACTGGGGCACTCAGCAATTAGAGAGGAGAAGAGGAAGGACAGAAGTCCTGGTCTGTATTGAATTTTTAAGACTTTCAAGGACAGCATAGTGCTTCTTCTCCTTTGGGAATCCAGATCTTGTCCCACCTGGTGGAAACAGGTCTGGAGAAGGAAAAGCCCTTCAGACCCCACACAGAACTAGGGGCAGAAGTCCCCCCTCTTTCATTCACTCTGAGCCCACCAGGTTGCCTCTCTCTCTGCACAGTCAGGCCCTCTGTACCCCCACCTTCCATGTGCCTCTCACTCAGTCTGGGTCCCGATTCCTTCGTATTGAGTAGCTCTCTCCCTCCTACATTCTTCCATGCATAGGCTTGGTAGAGGCTCAGTACTTAAGGTATCTACACAGAAATGTGTGTTATCTTACTTGGGGCATATTTAGAATACAGAAATGAGACTCTCTCCCAGGAAGAGTGGGCCTGGAGAAGGGATGAGAGTGAGCATATCACCTCCCACCTCAAGTGATGCTGGTACAGTGGGTGTCCAGGAGCCATGTTGCTCACAGTGCTCCCTCTATAGTCCTACTCGCTCCCAGGAAGGCTTTCTCATCAGAGTGCTTACCATGGCTCTTATCCCCTTATCCAGGCTCTGGAAAAATCAGTTTGGGTCAACTACAGGTGTCTGAGCCCCACCTACCACCTTCACCCCTTGCTGAGCTTTTTGAGCTTCTGTCCCTGACCTTACCTTCCTGCCTTCTCCAGTCTCCACTGGGCTCTTGTCACTTGGGCAGGGTCATAATCTGATTAAGTTCATATAGTTTCATCAGTCACATGCCTGGCAACACTGTAGTGTTGGAGACTGTCTATACTGCCAGGTACTGTAATATGAAAGCTTTACCTTTTCGCTCTCCCCACACGAATGCCAAGGAGAGTGGTGGATGCTGTAGTTCTGAGATCTAGGGTAACGGGTTGGGCTCATGACTTCGAGGTTTCTGTGGCCCTGAATCTAGGGAAGCAGATCAGAGAATGGGCAGCAGTGACAGAATGCTGATCACGGGGACTTCCACCAGGGGGAATCAGGGCCACCTATTAGATGTTGGGATGTGGGAGGCAGAAGCCTGGTTAGAATGGCTCTAGACATTGTTCTCAGTCCTCAGTTTCTAAAACTTTTCTGACTCCGGCAAACTGACCTTTATACTTCTGTCAGAACCCCTGTGACATCCGCTATCTTTGTTGTCCTTTCATAGTTTGACCTAAAACTTCTGCAAAAGTAAAGTCACATTTGACCAACTGCATTTATGGTGGTGTCTCTCTCCTCGCCCCTCAGCCTGACAGCTCCCAGCATGGCTCTGGGGCCTGGTGATCTGACCAGGTGTGTGACTGTCTTGAGACAAATCCTCCTGGGGTCATCTGCATCTCTTCCTGGAGGCAAGCTTCAGGCCTCACAAAATAGTCCACACACTTTGTATATGATTAGGGAGAATGGCCACATTGGCTGCTATACATCCACTGAAGTGTTAAATCATTTCAGGCACATTGTTTGTTTTCTCTTCCCCATGTTGTTATCTCTGTTGTTTGGTGCCCTTGTGTTAATTCCAACTGCTGGCAACTCTATTCACCACACAATAAATCTCTGCCTGATGCTGTGCCATCCTCACAATCTCTGCTGGGCTCAAGTCCATTGTTGCAATCACTGTGCCAATCCATCTTATTGGGAGTCTTCCTCTCCTTCACTGACCCTCTACTCTTCCAAGCATGATATCCTTCTCCAGGGACCAGCCTCTCCTGATAACATACTCAAAGTATGTGATACAAACTCCTTTTATCCTTGCCTCTAAGGAATTTGCTGTGTATGTCTTCCAACACAGTGGTCTAAGAATTTTTATTTTCTTGATGTTGAGATGCAATCCATAGGGAAGGCTGTATTCTTTGACCTTCAAGTCCTCCTCACTTTCAGCAAGCAAGGTTTTGTCATCTGCATAATGCAGGTTATTGATGAGTCTTCCTCTGATCTTGATGCCATATTCTTCATAGAGACCACCTTCTTGAATAAATTCTTACCTCTGGACTTATAAGCAATATCATGATGGAGAAAAGATTTAAACTGTCAACTACTTCATCTTACTTAGATCCAGCATCAACAAACAGCCTTGGCACCAGCAGTCAGGAAATCAGAAAACATACTGTTCTGGGAAAGTCTGCAGTTAGGGACCTCTCCAAATTATTGAAAAGCAATGATGTGAGTTTGAGGACCAAGGTACTTCTGATTCAGTCCCTGGTCTTTCTGATCACTGACTATACATCTGAGAGCTGGACAATAAATAAAGATAACAGAAGAAGAGTTGATGCTTTTGAGCTGTGGTACTGGAGAACAGTATGAATATCTCATGGATTGATTAAAGAACAAACAAATATGTCTTGGTAAAAGTGCAGCCAGTTCTTCTCGGAGGCAAAGATGAGAAAGATTCATCTCAAAGATTTCGAGCAGGTTGCTAGGGGAGGATATTCCTTGGAGGGGTGGACATCATGTTTGGAAAGGCAAAGGGTCAGCAAAGGAGAGGAAGACCCTCAACCAGGTGGACTGACATAGTGGCTGCCACAATGGGCTCTAGTGTGTCAGGAAGTGTGAGGATGGCACAGGATAGGATAGGATTTGGATTGTAGTTCATAGGATCGTTAGGGGTTGTACTGGGCTCAACAGCACCTCACAACAACAACTTCCAACACAGATATTTCTGTTCTTTTGGAAGTTTGTGACATATTCAGATGAGATTGGATGTGTTCAAGATGCCATGGCTATAAACTGTGATATATTCAATATCTTTAGAGTTTCTTCTGATGTCCAGTTTGCCTTTTCTTTCTTGTCTTGTCTTTTAAGTGACCTTTCACTTGCTACATGTCTGATGCCCTTGATTTCATCTCTCTACTTATCTCCAGTTCTTAGTGTGTAATGGATCAAGTCTATTCTTTTGATGGTTTCTAAATTCAGGTGGAATATGTTTAAGATCAGATTTTAGCTCTTTTGGTCTTATTGATCTTATTTTCATTTTCTTCAGCTTCAGTTTGAACCTTTATAGGAATAATCATCTGTCCCATGGTCATCCCAGCCTTGTCCTTACTGTTAATATTAAGTTCCTCTACTGTCTTTCTCTAGTACCACAGCCCCTTCTGAAACCAGCCTGGACTTCTGG